TTCTTCTTCTTCTTCTTCTTCTTCTTCTTCTTCTTCTTCTTCTTCTTCTTCTTCTTCTTCTTCTTCTTCTTCTTCTTCTTCTTCTTCTTCTTCTTTTTTTTCTTTTTGCAGTACTGGGGATTGAACTCAGGACCCTGAGCTTGCCAGGCAAGGGCTAATTCTATTCTGAGCTATCTCCCTGGCAAAAATTTTCTTGACTATACTTAGGAGTGGAACTTCTGGGTCATATGGTAAATCTATGTTCAACTTTTGGAGGGATAAACTTTTCTAAAGCAGCTATACCATTTCACAGACCCAGCACCAACAAGGGCCACTTCTGATCTCTCCACACCCTCACCAACCCTTGTTCCTCCTGGTTGTTTTCCTGACAGCCATCCTAGTGAGTGTAGATTCTGTTTTGTGTTTAATACCACCTACAGCACAGTATAGACAATTTACACTCTTACACTTAGCTTTTAACAATATGACAGTCATATCAAAACATATAGACCTGTTTTGGGGTTTGTTTTTTTGTTTTTGCTTTTGCTAGTCCATTGTATAAATGCATAATTTATTTAACCAGGTTCTTTAGACTGGCTTCCCTAGTCTATTAGGAACAATGTTTTAATAAATACCTCTACATTATCGATTCTCCATTTCTAGGAATTTGTAAGGATTCTTCTTCTTCTTCTTCTTCTTCTTCTTCTTCTTCTTCTTCTTCTTCTTCTTCTTCTTCTTCTTCTTCCTCTTTTCCTCTTCCTCTTCCTCTTCCTCTTCCTCTTCTTCTTCAGATAGGGTTTGGCTATGGAGCTCAGTCTGGCTAGAACTCGAATGGATCCTCTTGCCTCAGCCTCCCAAGGGCTAGATTACAGAGGTGCACCACCACGCCTGGCTGCTAGGGTAATTCTTAGAAGTGGAAATCTGGGTTAAAGGGCACAGATAATTTTAGACTGATGAAGGGACAAAAACTGCTGGGGGCTGAACAGGAAAACATTTCCAAATGTTTGCCTGGCGGCAAGTCTGAATTCCTCAACTTTCCTCGTTTTCTGGCCACCCCTTGCTCACCTTTCCCACAGATCACAGCCTGCCTAGAAAGTAGGGGAAAGGTCCCAGCTGCGCTGTGGCGCCTCCCTTCCCTTAGGCTCAGGCCAGTCGAGCAGACACTGCTATGCTAGCCACGACTTCTTTTTTGCCCGGCCTGGGCTTGCAGAACCCGTCTTAGGGCTCGAGACCCCTGCCTTTAGCTGTGACCCACTCCCCAGGAGGATGGCACTGAAGCATCCACAGCCTTCCCTCCTGGCATGGACGCTCACTCCCCATTCCGAGTCTCCGAGTCTCCTTGGGAATTTTTCCCAGCAATCTCCCCTTGCTCCCAAGCCTTGGCATGAGTCAAGCTAAAGCCGCCTTTAAAACCATGCAGGGGCCAGTGCTCTTTTTTAGATGAGAAGACAGAGGCTACAGAATGGGATCTGACTTGCCCATAAGCAATTCAGAACCCACCCCAGAGGTTGGGAGTATCCCATAATTGAACTCAGGCCCTTGTGCTTGCCAGGGAAGCACTTATTCCACTGAGTCATCTCCACTGAGTCATCTGCCCGGCCTGAGTATCCCATTCTTAAGCTGTCCTTTTTTGGTGGAACCAGGGATTGAACTCAGGCCCTGCGCTTGCCAGGGAAGCACTTATTCTACTGAGCCATCTCCCCTGCCCCAAGTTCGGAGTTTCATTTCCCCTATATCAGAACGTGTTAAGGGCACATCTGTAACCCCATCAGTCTAGGGGTGCTGACCAAGGAAGGCAGGTTCAAGCCTAGGCTGGTCCATTTATAGGTCTAGTGAGACTCTGTCTTTTTTTAAAAAAAGGCCTGACATATAGCTCAGTTCAAAGGTCCTGGATTCAGTACCCAGCGCTGGGAAAGACGGGGGTCAGGCTCACAGAAAACGGAGTTTAAAGAAATGACAAAAGGGCCTCATCATTCTTCAGATATCAGTAGCAAATTAAACCCTCGGATCTGGAGCGGGATAGAACGGCACCTAAATCCTGATTCCTGTAAGAAGTTAAACAATTTCCACTCTTCGGGCCATGAAACGGAGAAAATAGGGGTGTGGTGGGGGGCTGAAGACCTCTGGTAACCTGCACTTGGTCAGTTCTCAGAAAAGTCTCACTGAGGACCGCACATCCAGGCGAGGAGGCGAGGAGCTGGGTCACCCCACGCGCCTCCCGCCGCCGAGCTGGGGGGTAAATCGGCTTCCTGACCGCTTTAGTCTCCTGCAGCCCTAACAAGCTCCACCCGATCACTTCCAGGCGCGACTCTGCGCAGAGGATGGGCCGCGGACGTGCGCGCCGGCGGGCGCGTGCGGCTGCAGTGCGCCTGCGCCTGCGCTCCGGGGGCGGGGCAGCCGTTATTAGGGGCGGGGCCAGGGCTGAAGCCGGGGCTGGACCGGTAACTGGCGTCCGGTCCTCGTGGCAGTCGTGTCCGCGCAGGGCTGAGTTCCTAGAACGTCTCCACTGCTGTCTGCTGCCTGCAACCTGCGACCTGCGACCTGCGACCTGCGACCTGCGACCTGCTGCCGTTTGTCCGACTTTCGTCCGGACTCTCAGGATCTGCTGCGACTGCGAGCGCGCCGCTCCCGGATCTTCTCTTCGAGGTGAATGGCTCTGGTCTCCCCCGCTCCAGATCCGGGTTCCCGGCTCCCTGCCCCCAGCTCCCTGGCCGCGTGCGGGGCGGGATTCCCCGGGCTCTCACTCAGGGACTGCGGCGCCCGCTGCCCTCCTCCGCGACCGCGTCCCCACAGTCAGCCACCGCAGCCCTGTTTTTGTCCGTAGTACAAAATCCCCGTAGCCCACCCGACGCCTGACGGTGTTGTTGGGCGGCGTCCCAGCCAAGCCCTCCCGAAGCACCCTTAGCATCGCCTTCCCGTCACACGGCTCATAGCGAATTGTGGCTGCAGCAGCCCAGTGAGGGCAGGGTTCGTGTCCTCCGAGCCCTGGGTGGCCCTGGCACCTTCTGGGATGCCTAACACTGTAAGAATTGAGGATGTATTTGTTGGATAAGTGAACTTGATAGATTTGACTCACAAAATTATTTTGAATCCCAGAAAGTTTATGGTTAACTAGAATCTTGACTTTGGGAGAGCTTTCTAGGCGGGTTGCTTTTCCTGGGGCATGTTCCTTTTTGGTGTTTTTGAGTCAGGGTCTTGCTGGGTAGTCAAGGCTGGCCTTGAACTCCCGATGTAGTCGAGGCTGGGCCTGACCTCTTGGTAATCTGCCTGCCTCAGCCACCACCAACCACACTCTGCTCTAGGCGTGTTTTTATCGTCTCTCCTTACACCACGAACTGAGTAGGCCTCCTCTTACTAAGGCACTTGCGCAGTAGTAGCACACAGGGTGCCCTGCACCAGCCTTTGAGTTGGTCTGAGAATAGAGGATGGCTCTGCAGCCCATGAGGTTTGTGGTATACACTTAGAGATTCTCCGTTGGGAGAGCACCCTGCTGTCTGTCTCCCTGGCGCACTGAGCCTCTTTCTCAGCTCTTGGGAAGCCCAGAGAGTTGTGGCTGCACATTAACCTCTTCCTCTTTTCTCAGGACCCAGAGTACAGCCAGAAGCCAAAGGCAGCTCTGCTACCCTACAAAGGCGCAACGATCTTTCAGCTATGAAATACATTTTGAAAATGTACCTGCTGGGTGTGATGTTCACCCTGCTGTCTGTCTGCTTTAGGCTCGTGGAGTCACTGGAGGGATTACTGGAGAGCCCATTGCCTGGGAGCCCCTGGGCGCTCAGAGGTCATTTAGCCCACACCGAGCTCCCCAAAGCCCTTCCTGATCACCCATCCAGAGGGGTGCGATAAGACCTCCTTTGGCACCAGTCATGTCTTGAAACACTGACCTCAGTGTGCCCTACCAGGTGCCTCGGCAGGCAGGCCCACAGGACCAGTGTTTCCAGAAAACTTAACAAGACTGGGACAGTCTATGTGGATGTTCTTTGCTCTAGAAAAGAGCCTGTTGAGTATAGAGGTGTAAGTGGGCTGCCTTTGCCGGTGGAATGGTATCTTCTCTCCCCTTTCCCCAGTGACTCTTGGCTTTGATGTCCTTGGCACCGTGCATCTGTCACCTCTGAAATGGGGACTCATGTTGCAACTTTAGCTGTTGGTTTCAACCTTAGAACCTGAACATCTGCCAAAAGTTCCTTTGGACCTGGGTACTTTGTGGCTGCTTTGGCTGTTCAGTCTCCCATGAGAACTCCTCTGTGAGCATAGCAGTTGAGGCGTACCGGTTGTCTAAGAAGGAGCAGGATGGAATATCAAGTGTATCATTTCACATTTTTAAATTCATCCAACATAGTTTGTATGTATTTGTATATATTGGCCTGAAGGGGACAGTGGAATGATAACAGGCTTTTAGGATGTGGGTATTACGGTCACTATGTGGCTTAAACTAATTTTTCTAATACAATAAAGTCAAATATTTCTGTGTCATGTTGACTTCTTCCCTTAAAGTAGTAAGTAAGGAAGATCTCAATTTATAGATCTAAGGTTTAACATCTTAAAACTTTGGAGCAGGAAAAGCTTGAAGCTCTTTAAATGGAAACCCCAGAATTTGGGCATGGGCAGTTAGGTTTATGGTCTGTCCATCACTTGACTGAGCCTAGGCCAGGATGATTATAATCAGCCCTCCATAGCCAGAGTCTGCACGCTGCACAGTGAGATTCAGCCGCCACAGATTCTTTTCTTTCTCAGCTGTGCTGAGAATCAAGCCTGTGGCCTTTCACATGGTAGACTTTTGTTTTTGTTTGAGACAAGATCTCACTCTGTAGTGCATACTGGCCTTAAACTTGCTAATGTAGTCCCGGCTGGCCACACACTTGTGGCAGTCCTGCCTCAGTAGTACAGGCGTGCCCCGCTACACTTGCCTGCGTGCTAGATTTAAGTGCTGTATTACTGAATTACATCCTTCAACCCTCAAAGTATCTTTTAAATTGGTCTTGTCCTGATAGGTACAAACTTGTTCTTTCTCAGTCCGTAAAGAATACAGCACCTGTTCACATAGCATTTATGTTGTATTAAATAGGACCAGTAATATAGAGATTTAAGGTATATGGGAGCTTGTGTGCAGGTTATACGGGCATAGTACGCCATGTAACATAGGGGACTTGAGTACTCACAGAGGGATAATTGTGTCATCCTCTTGTGACTCTCTCCTGACTATAAAGAAAATGATCCATTCTTTCATCCCCCAATGATGAATCTTAGAGAAAGAAAACCAGTCCAGGAGGCCTGGGCGTTTTGTTTTGTTTTGTTTTAAACACATTCTAGCACATCTTTTATCCACCAGAATGACTGCTTCCTTCTGGTTGTTCTTAGAGTCCGCTGATAAAAGTAAATCTGCATCCCACAGATGATTGTTTCTGCTCTCTGGCCCAAATCTTAAGGTAGCTTAGTCTTAAAAAAATGCAAGGGATTTTGTTTGTTTTTCTACCTATGTGCCACTCCTGCATTCCTTGCCCTATGTGTACATGTGCGCACTCCGCTTCTGGTATGTGAATGTGGTAGGCATGTGAATTTGGGTCCTTACTGAGGAGTGAGCCCTGGGCTTTTTTACTGAGCTACATTTCTGGCCCTTTTTTAGAATTTTTCATTTATTTTACTAGCAGTGCTGGGAATCGAATCCAGGGCCTTCCCACTGATCTACAACCACAGTCTGTCTGTCTGTCTGTCTGTCTGTCTGTCTGTCTGTCTGTCTGTCTCTGTCTGTCTGTCTGTCTGTGTCTGTGTGTCTATCTGTCTGTCTGTCTGTCTGTCTATCTATCTATCTATCTATCTATCTATCTATCTATCTATCTATCTAATTCATTTCTCTCTCTTTCATTCGTTCATTCATTCCTTCGTACCACAAATCCAACTCCTTGACCTCACTTGCCAGACAGGCGCTGTGCCACTGAGCTGTGTCCCCACCCCCCAGTTACTTATTTTGGTTTGAGATGTTCTTGCTAAATTTGGGCAGGCTGGGTTTGAACTTGAGATCTGCCTGCCCCAGCCTCCTAGAGTGATGGGATCACCATGCCCAGCTTTATTTATTTACCCAGGGTCTTCTGAATCACACCTAAAACTGGTAGAGAAATGTAAACATCACCCAGAGATTGTTAGATTTGATCTTGATGTTGCTGGATGGAATTCTCAGGTGGTTTCTTGGCAGAGGCATGAGGTATGCCCACTGCAGCTGAGATAGTGAGCTGATTGGTGTGCTGTATTTCTGCCCCCACCTCTCAGACCCTTGATAACAATTGTACTTCCTGATGACCTGTGGGCCAGTGTGGTTACCACCATTCCTGCTAATGAGTTGTGAGAGTGATGATGTCAATTTGAGGTAATATTTAAGTGTTAATTCCCAAGCTGCAAACCTGTTTTTCTGTCTGCTGCAGTCATCATGATTGCTTTGTCTGGAATGGATCCATTAGTGCACTTCATGAGGGGTAGTGACTGACACAGGGTCAGCTTGTTTAGAAGCTTAACACAGCAGGGGGCCAGGTTCCTCCCTTTATGAACATCCTGAGCCTCTGCAAGAGGAGGGCGTGGAGACGGTGTGGGTGTAGCCTGCATACAGTATAAGAGGAAAAGGGCTTGTTTCCGCCCACCCCCACTTCTTGCTTTTGTTCCTTTTGCTGTCTTCTGCTGCCTAGAACTGTAGTCCCCGTGCCAGATCACTCTGCCTTGGCGTTGCTGGACTATGAAACCTCTGCAAACTGTGGGCTAAATAAACCTTCCCCTCATTTTGGGCATCTGGTATTTGTCTCAGAAAGGAGGAAAAGTAAGTAGCACTTGGGGATAGGGGGCGCCTGGCTGTCTGACAGGGAATTTACAAACCTGTGTTGTGTTGAGCTACTAAGGTTTAGGGGGCTTTATTCCTGCAGTGTGACTTAACCTATCTGGGATGGCTTATTTCTTTTCTTTCTTTTTTTTTGGCACTACAGTTTTCCCTCACTTATCGTAGAGGTGACACTCCAGATACCCCCGATAAGTGAAGTAACAACATTATTTTATTTTTTTGTCACTCAAAACATTTTTAATGCACATTTTAAAAAAAAGTATTCATCTTAAAAATTGTTCTGCAATCCAAATATACAACAGCTTGGTAAACAACGTTTAGAAAACAAAAGTTAATTGGCCAAGATAGCTCAGCTGGAAGAGCGTTAGAGTGAAGAAAACAAAAGCTAATGTAAAAAGACAGAGTAAAACAACTACAATAGTACAGATTTTTATTTCTCAGATTCTACAATTTTCTTACTGCATCATCAATGTCAAAAATCTGCTCCTTCAGCTGGCTCCACTGTTCTGAATTTATTTATTTATTTTGTGTGTGTGTGTGTGTGTGTGTGTGTGTCCACCTCAGCCCACCAGGGGGTGGGGCTGGCTGGCATGTGGTGCTGGGGGATTGAACCTTGGTCCCTGTGCTTTGCTAAACTTGTTCCAAGTAGGTGCTTTAGGCCACTGAGCCATCTCAGCAGCCCTTGCCCTGGATTTAAAGAAAGCCTTTTCTTCCTGGTTTCATTTCACCTTTTGGATCCATCCAGTATTCTCTCATCTATTAGAACTTTTCCTTTAAAGTCCCTAACACTGACCTGTCTCATTTTCCCAATCTGAAGCACGTGATCATCTCGGCTGCTGCTGCTCTGCTTAGAAGATGACAGAGCTCTTGAAGTGTCACCAGTCTTCTGCTTCTTTACAGGCTTTTCTGGAGCAACCTTGCTCTTTCCTCTTTAACTTTTTGTCAACTTCACTGTCAGAATCACTGCCTGAAGAGCTTTGAAGAAACAAGTTGCTTTGATTTAGGCATTGCTCTGCTGCTGCAGTCAACAGCCTCCTGCTCGCTCAAAACTCTATTTATTTTATTTTTAAAAATCTTTTATGGGGGCTGGAGAGAATAGCTTAGTACAGTAAGCGCTTGCCTGGCAAGCACAAGGGCCTGAGTTCAATTCCTGGTTCTGCCAAAAAAAAAAAAAAAAATCTTTTTTTATTTATTTAGTATAGGGTCTTGCTATGCAGCTCAGACTCATCATGATCCTCTTGTCTCAGCCTCCCCAGTGGGGGGGTTACAAGAGTGCGCCACCAGGCCCAGTTCCAGTGGCCAGCATGGTGCACCTGGGGTCCCAGGACCAGCACGGCATCTGACAACTGGGGATCAAACTCAGGACCTTGTGTTTGCCATGCAGGCACTTGGACCACCGAGCTATCTCCCCAGCCCTATTTATTTTATTTATATATATTTTAAGGCTTTATAAGCCCTTCCCACACTTATAAAAGTACTTCTAATGTTCTTAGCCATTCGCTAAACTTGTTTTTTGTTTTTTTTTTTTTTAGTTTTATTTGTGTATGTGTGTGGCCAGCTCAGCCCACCAGGGGGCGGGGCTGGCTGGCATGTGGTGCTGGGGGATTGAACCGCGGTCCCTGTGATTTGCTAAGCTTGTTCTAAGTAGGTGCTTTAGACCACTGAGCCATCTTGCCAGCCCTCGCTAAACTTGTAAACCTACATAATTTTAACAACACACATATGATGTATGGTACTGAAAAATCCCACGATATAGTGGAAATCTGCGATAAATAATTTGGATTAATATTTTTGAAAACCTGTGCAACAATGAGTCTGGAAAATAATGAGAAACTACTGTACTGGGAATAGAACCCACTACCTTACACTTTCGGGACTGGTACATGGCACACAGTATCTGCCAGAAGCCAGGCATCAACTAAGAGCTGATCACTACCAACCTCAAATAATGTACATAGGATAGTAGGGTGCATATCAAGTAAAAACAATGTGTGATCTTTCTGCAATAGGATTTATGTAGGACAGAGGATAAAAAAATTTGCAGACTAAAGGGAGATATAAATTAGGAAGAGCTTAGAGGTTCTGATTTATTTTATTTATTATTATTTGTGTGTGTGTGTGTGTGTGTGTGTGTGTGTGTTTAGGGGAGGATCTACAGGGTCTCACTGGGTAGATAAGACATAGTGATCCTCCTGTTTACAGCCTCCCAAGAGCTGGGATTACAGGTGCCCACCACCACGACCAGTCTGAGATCTTGAATTTTTAAAAATGAGGTTTATGGCCCTGCTGGCTGCAGACAAAAAAGGACTTCCCAGTGGAGGGAAGAATGTGAGCAAAAACGGGTAGGTGAGCCCTATTCTCAAGCACATTTAAAATCTAATCATTGTTAGGTGCAGGCCTGAACTCCAGTGCCATCTAGTGGACATGGAGGGAGAAGTGACTTTAAATGTGCTATGTGATGTTTTAATTTGAAATGTTGCTGAGGCTATGTAACTTAGTGAGAGATTGATAAATTTGATAATACATTACTTCAACACTTTTACTGTTTGCTTTTAGGCTTTGTCCACACATGTGGCATATTTCTGTATTGCTATAGTGTAGGCTGGGCGCACACCCATAATCCCAGTACCCCGGAGGCTAAGGCAGAACCT